TTACAGGTGATGGGCCCACAAGAAGGTGGACCCATGTACCACTTTTGGGCAATTTGGTTGCCTGCGCACATTGTTAAGTCCCTCCCCTCCATTTCTTGCAGCCATTCAACCCCCCTGCTCTGTCACCCTGAAAAGGGGAACTGTGCGGCAGTGTGTGTTTAGGACACTGTGACCATGATAAGAAGGGAGATGACTTGCATTCCTTTGCTGGCAGAGTGATTTCACCGTTGGACCCCTGAGGTCTTCAACCCAAAATTGCTCCAGGAACACTGTCTAACCCTACTTTCTCACTTACATCACTTTGCACAAAAGCATCTGCTAAATAAATAAATGGAAATGTCTATAATACATTTTGCAAGTGCTTTCCTAACTTCTTCAGATCACATAGGTCTTGGGCCATGCTGAGCTTGACTTCCTGCAATACAATTTAAGTCGTGACTACTAAATAATTCATCAAAATGTTACCATAATAATCAGGAGTGATAAGTTAGGCCTGTGATTGGGATACTTTTTTCAAAGCAGTTAGAAACGGTTGCAAGAAAATATCACTAGGTCACATGTGTCTCTGCAATATTCTAAAAATAAAACACTATAAAACTCTTCTGAAAGCACAAGCCATGCCTCGCTTCACTCCACTCCCTCTGTGGTTCCTTCCATATCATCCATGCCAGTGTAAAGGTTTTCTTAATGCCAAGCTCTGCCAACCTCGGACCTGAAAAACCACAAATGCCGTCTGGCGTTCTGTGGCAGAACTGGAACCCGTGGGGTCCAAAGGCAACAGGAGAAGAACAATAGCTGGTGTGGACGCAGCGGGAAATGAGATCCGGGCAGCCGGCACAGGCGACAGCAGAGGTTTGGTCTCCGATTCCATCTCAGACCACACCGGGTGACCGACTGGAAGATGAGAGCACCATTCACACTCCAGCTGGGCCTTATTTAAGTGCTTTATTTTTTTCCTTATTATTGATTTTAATCATAAATGTTTCCTGTGGAGGTTATGCTAATATCTGGAGGTAAGCTCTCAAAGCCACAAATGCTTCAGAAGTGTTTGTATTCATTGTAATTTAGGACAAAAGCAAACAATATTCCACGGTTAGTGTGCTGTCAGACTTTCCTGGAATATGACAAGTATATCCTCCTGAGACCCAAGTTCAGTTTTAGGTTAATTGTGATTTTCTTTGTCTTTGGAGGAAATAAGACATAATTTTTAATTTCACAGCATGTCCTCTTTAGTGTACAACAGGAATAAATATGTTTCCTTACATCAGTGGAAAGATATATGCAGAAACAAAATGTCCACTGCAATGGACATAAATGAATGGGTGGGGTCTCAGGAGGATATCAGGTAATATGCATGCCTAGGAAAAAGAGTTTTGTCCCTCATATTTGCCCCCCCCCATTTTGAACAAGAATAATGTCAAGCATCACATTCACACTTCATTCGCTGTCACGCTTCATCCCAACGTAATTTACACAAATTTGCGCTAAACTCCGCCTTGTTACCTCACTTAATGATACAATGATACATTGTAACAAGTGCTCTATAGAAATGGTAATTAATAGTACATCACAGAATTGATGTCTTCATGGCAACACTGTCCCTTTTTTTCAAACTTAATGTCATGCAAGTAAAGACAGCAACCCAGGAGGAATAAACAGGACAGCTGACAGCAGAAGGATTTTTATTTATTTTTTTAATGGCAAGAAAAAATTAGATACGGCTAACGTCTCAAGTGAGTGAGATTCTCTCGGTTCTCGTGTTGGACCTAAAGCCCTTGGCTGTCTGTTTAGTCCTGGTGGGACAGTGAGGTCTGTTATCACTGTTATTAAGAACTGTTTTGCAGCCAGGTCCAGCTGTAGGGGATTAGTGGAGGACCAAGACGGTGGCCTTCGCATGCAGTACAAGACTCGGGTCACTGGTCGGGTGGACATGACCCGTGGCCTGGCTTCGCTGCCACAGAAAGCCCTCTGAGTTACCGTGCAGTGTTGACGGCTAGGCACAGGAAATCTAAATGGAGTGTGATTTTTGGAAGACCAAAATTCTTGGACATGGACTCAACTTTTCATTTGCAAATGGTATCATTTTTGGCAAATTGGTGCTTCTCTCTCTCCCTGTAAGAAAGGGAGGGAATTATGTCATTTTCTTTTCATAGTGCTCTTCCGTGCTTCAGCACACTTGACCGCACAAGGCGATGCTGTAATACAAATGGATCTTATCAATTCTGTGGTCAGGTTGCCACGGGAACCTATGTAAAGAAAGAGGCTTGTTACAGCAGAAAAGGAAAAGGGAAGAGGCCCTCATTAAAGCAAAACACCACCTGCTGACAGCCTCCAAAAACCAGGTGCACCTATTGCATGTGGATGCAGTGGGTCTCAAGCAGAAGATGTGACCCCAGTGGGGAGGAATCAGTGCCAGGACTGGCTCAACTTATTCAATGCCCCACCCCAGCATACTTGAGAAGGTATTGAGCAGCCCGAGAGGGGCCATAGATATGTCCTGCATTCATAGATATGTCAACACTGTCCTTGTCTGTCACTCAGCCGACCCTGGATGTTGATGATAATGGTGTGCGTGCATAATCATGGTTCACAGACAAACGGCTGCCATTCGTGTCAGAGTGACTGGCTTTAGTTCTCGTCTGTTTTCTTTGGAGTCTGCCGAAAGCGCAATACATGCTCCGCGCCTGACTTATGAATAAAAAAAGAATGCCATAATTCAAAAGTCCGATGTTGTTTGCGTGCATTTAAATTAAATTCATTACATGGTGACAAAGCGTCGGGGGGAAATCCTTTCCCACAAAGCACTTGCAGACGCCCCATTGGTCTAACCAGCTGCCAGCGAGGGACACGACATCAAAGGCCAGAACCGGCACGGTTCCAGTCTCTGACATGAAAATAACATTTCGGGAAAACAGCATACAGACTTAACGGGACAGATCGTCTCCTGTCCGGTGCTGGGCTCTTCTGTTGCCATGGATATGTCCCCTAGTCCTTGTCTGTGAGCCATAAGTGACTGAGTCTCCAGGGTCCTCTCCAATGTCACTGAAATGACCGCACGCAAGCATCGACACAGAGGGATTTCACTTGCAAAATTCTTAAGAGATCCTCGACTGTTTTAGCTGGGGTAATTAATTAATTGCTGGGTAATTCAGAGGCCATGCACATACTGTAAACGGCTCTGGATAAGGCCACTTGCCAAGCGTATAACTAACACCAGGCTGCCCTAATGTCTAGGCCTCATGAGAAGGGAAGGCCCTAGCAAACCTGTTTGTTTACACGCCCGTTTTAATGCCAGGCAGTTGCCTAAAATAAAGGGGAACAGACAGCAGTGCCACCTGTGCCTGGAGTTTACGTGCAACGCGGTGGAAACTGAGCCCAAACTGAACAGATTCAGTGTAGGTGGCCCAGTTGTTATTTTTTTTACTAGAAAGCTCTGTGTAACTCAAGAAAAACTCATTTTCGTTCTGTTTATACACATGGCCCCAGCCGTCGAATGAGCGCAGGCGAAACCTAATACCCTCCATGACAACCTGCACGTAAGGCCATGCCACACACACACGCGCACGCACACACGCACACACATACAGCCCAATGCATGTGCACACACACAGGCACATGCCTGACTTCACCTGCACTGAAAGTGCGGCACAGCAGCTCATGAGGGAAGTCAGACTTTCAAACATTTTTTAAAAATTACGGCTTTTTGGTGGCACTGGAATCAGCCAGGGAAAACAAAAATATACATTTCCATTCAAAGCCCATCCAACCTTGTCAATGCTGGATGTTTTGGTGGAAAAGTAATACTTGAACCACAATTAAAAAAAAAAAAAAAAACAAGAAAGAAAATTCCAAGAATTATTTCCAGTGCTCAGACATGCATTAAGTATTTTTCCGATAATACTCTTGGTTAGTCAGGTGGTTGGGCTGTTCCATAATGCTGTGGAGCAGAAGATCAGTGCCAGCTTTTCTTGATGGGTTGCAGCCCCATCGACAGTCATTCGCTGCCCCCCCCCCGCCGCCCCTCCCCAGATACACATGCTAAAATCTTCATCTCATCCCACAGTCACGCTAGCACACAACCTGCAAGCAGCGTGGTGGATAAGGACAGGAACTGGCAACCTGAAGGCGAGTCCTCTGATGGAATACCCAGCTGCATGCCTGTGAACTGCCCTGAAGAAATGTGTGGGCTAGACAGGCAGAAATGCTCATTGTAGAACCCTATGAAATACAGGACATGCAGTGACCTTCTAGGAGGCGATGTAAGCGGGTGGTGGTATTAGATGAACTGATAAAGACGCCTACAACAGAGATAAGTTTTACACACTACACCTTCGTGCTAATTAACTGAAAAAAAATTGTCATGCAGACAGTGGCCTGGGACCTGCACAGCCAACAGGGCAGAGAGTACACTGAGAGGATGGACAGAGGAGGCACTGCTGAGGTGGGGTTATAGATAGGTGGTATGACAGTGCTTTAGCCTTCCTGAGGGTCAGGCATGACCCTGTGTTGTCATGGGGTTTCCTCTGGGTTCCCCCATAGTCTGATACCATGCTAAGGTTACAATAATGATAGATACTTTATTGATCCCCATGGGGAAATTGTCTTTACGCCTCCCTCAACTTGCGCTTTATAGAGCGAGCTGTCTGCGAAGGGCAGGCACCCAGGGAGTTGGGGGTTAAGGGCCATACTCAAGGACCTGCAGATTTGCTGAGGCTGGGTTTGAACCAGCAACCTTCTGAATACAGGCACACAGGCTAAGCCCACTGAGCCACACAGTGCCCCTTAAAGGGAGCGGCCAAATTTTCCATAGATATGAATGGTGTGTGTGCTCTGCGCTGGATTGGCGCCCCATCCTGGGTTATTCCCATGCGATTTGTATTAATCCACCAGGTACTAAATCCAGACGTGAGGGTGTACAGCAGTATATGACAGAGTACTGTCCAGGAACAAATAAAGAAATACCATAACACTTTGTTATGGGCTTCATTCTCAGCATTTACCTGTGACAGCCTGCAAATGCACACGTCCTTTAATATTATAGACAATCCAACTTGTTTTGGAGTTTTCAGCAGTGTCCTCGGAGAGCTCTGTTCCTGGGACTGGGATGGGAGGGGGCAGCATTGCTGTAGAGCAGGGAAGGGGGGGGAGTATGTGGCTTAGAGCAGCTGACATAACACACATTTTGTGACGAAGGCATTGTGAAACAATCCCTACATCAAACCTTGTCCGTCACTTAGTGGTTCAGATGTAAAAAGACTGTAATCTTATTTGCCCACTCTAGGGGGCGACAGTGTAAAACAGCCACTTGGCCAGCTGTACTTCATGATACCTTATCCTACCGTCTAGACCATGTTTCGTTGCTAGTCAGGTGCACAACATGTATTTTACAAGCTGATGATACCAACAATTCATCATGAATGAATTTATGAATGAGACTGTTGGCACGTTGTCTCATAGCGACATCAGTAAGTAATAACATCACCCATGTTGTCTGCGTGAAGGCCTCATTCAGATTATAGGCTTGGTTGGAGAGCATTCACAAACACATCCACCTCAGAATTTGTTTAAAGATGGAGAGCTTTGTCCAGCAAAGCCACAGTGTGAATCCCTGGCTTCCCAGAGATATTTTAGTGAATGTCCTTTGGCCAGGCACTTTCCTTCATATGCCCAGCTGTACTGACTGCTCTCATTGATGCCCCTCTCTCTTCTTCGCCCCGCACTGCATCTTGAACAGTTCTAATTATAGCCAGAAGCGACATACTGAAACCATACAGTAAAGGCAAAAGAAAATAATGCAGCAGAGTTTCTCTGTCTGCTTTTGCAGTAGCTCTCTCCATTGGCAGTTGCTGGGGCGCATAATGAATTCTGCTGTTTGCTCCCATTCCTGACCTTGTTATGTGAAAACTGATTGTATGGTTCAGTCGTCCCCAGGATGAGGAAGAGTCTGACCACCAAATGGAGACCAGGGTGGGGGGGTCATATGAGGGACACGCTGCATATGATGCAACAGGATGTTCCTAACCTCAGTGTGGTTCTCCTGGTCTCCTTGTGCTCTGTGGCTATTTCAACAAACCAGCCTGAGGTCAAAGCGTTCAGGTTTGGGGAGTCCTCATAGGTTTCACTCCCAGACTTCACGTACTCCAGCTGAAATCGGAAGGCACATGAAATTCACCCCTACAGTAGAGCTGCTGCCTTTGCAATTGTGCTCTTAGTATGGCGGAAACATCACCCCCCCCACGCTCTCACCTCCGCCACGCCCTTTCCCCTCCCCTAAAACCTGAGAAAGACCAGAATTAGGCTGCGCACGTACAGGAGCTACCAGTACCTGGAAAAAATTATACAGTCTAAATATATTCGATCTATTTTTACCTCCACACCGAAATGTGTTTTTAGAGAGGCTCTCGGGTTTTTTTACGCGCAGCGCAGCGTGTAATTAGTGTGTACGGTTAACTAATTCCCAGCTGAACAATTTGAACACTTTCCACTGACGCACAATCTCACTGAGCCGGTGCAGTATGGAACACAGAGAGGGATCACAGTCCTGTATTTAATATGTTGTCGGGAAAAGTGCTGTTTGATCATTCAGGTTTTAATCTTCACACACAGTCGTCCTGTTTGCAGGCTGGTCTCACAGACTGGCTCAAGACAGAGACACGTAGCCTCTGCTGGAGCAACGGGACGTCAGATGCGATGCTGAGTGTTTTTGTTTTGGACTGGCCTGACCTGGGCCAGGCATGAGGCTGGCTGCGTCACGGAGACTTCTGGAATTCCGGGTCCCGTGACATACCCGGGTTCTCAGCAATGGTCGAGGTTTTGGATCGGCGTCATCCGAGGCCTTGGTGAGGCCTGCCTCATGCGATGGAAAAATTGGACCTGTGACACGCAGCGCGTGTGTGTGTCTGTGAGAATATATGTGTGTGTGTGTCTGTGCGAAAGGCCCGTGCACAAGGCATCTGGATCTGATGAGCGACCACATGGTCTGTGGCAGCACAGGGCGCTTGACAATGAGAAAACTTTCACACCAGACAAAGAAGCTTGCCGATTCGGAGCTCGCCTCACGAAGCCCATGGGGGGCGGGAGGCAACCTCAGGAAAGTTGCAAAAGGCTACCAAGAACGAATGAGGGAAAGTCAAAATCCAATTTCTGTCAAAATATGTAACTAGAATATCTGCCGCTGTTTAGCATCCACTGATTGATTATATGGGCAGACAGACAGAGAGAGGAAGTCCACAGAAATAAAGATGAGAGGAAGAAGTAGAAACTTTGTGAAAGAAGCGAGAACAGAAAAGAAATATAGGCAGAAAATAAGTGTCGGAAGAAAGAGAAGCTAAAGGAGTGGTGGAAGTGGAGAAAGAAGGAGGGTTCCCTCATTCTTGAAAGAAGAATGAGGGAAGGGACATCATGCAGCTGACCAGAAGATCACCCTGAAAATCACAGGTGAAGCATGCACTGGCATGGCAGAGCACAGGAAGTGAAATCACAGCTGCATGTGGAACGGCTGAGCAGATACCAGTAATCCCAGTTAAATGTTTATCTGGCCCGAGCAGCGTCAGCTCATTAGCATGTGGTGTGTGCAGAGCGACCATATGGCGCCAACATGCCTCCGTCCCGTTCACACGCCGCCCGGCTCACGCAAACCTAGACCTGTCTTCCCCGCTGCACCCCGACGTGTCACTGCACATTTTGTTTTCATTTTCATATTTTTTATTTCTATTTTTTGAAAAGCATCTGCAGCAATTCAAATTCAATTCCATTCGGCGTTCTTTATTGGCATGGAAATTTAACATCTATGCCGCCAACGCGCGAGCATGAGTAAAAAGAAAATAATGAAAACTATTTCTTCAACAGTGATAGTAACGACAACAACAACTACTACAACAATAGCGGCACCTCTATTCTGGACGTCAGCTGGACGTCAGAGGTTGATAAATATGATGCTAACGGCAATAATTATCACACACCATCCTTGAACAGAGGCCAAATTAAAAGTTTCATCCCAACTGCCAGGGCTCCTGCATGTCCCCTCAGTGATCCAAACTGGGTACTGGGTAACAAACCCACGGTACCAAATGTATTGCTGCCACCAAACATTGTGGATCCCACCCCTCCCAGGTTATAACTCTCTGAAAACAAGGCCCCCTCTTACTTTCATCCTCCATGACGTCCATCAGAACGACACAGGACGGGCAGCTGCAAACGGCGCCGGTTACGACCCAGACGGCTGCTGCCTTGACGACTCACGGTAGCGATTGTTTGCTGGGCAGCTGATGTTGGTCTCCAAGGCAATGACCCGTGCAAATGAATATTTCCCCGAACAATGATGGCTTTGTCGCTCATGCTGAACTCACAAACGTACCTGGTGCCCAAGTGATAACCTCCCAGTTAAAATATGGCTAATTGACTCTTCTATTGTTACCCATACATTGGCAAGCACACAAATGCCAGTCTGGTCCAAGTACTAAGAAGTATTTATTATGAATAACTCACTTAACTGAGGATGTACTCTTCCTGCTTGAATAACAGAGGGAATCTGAGATCCTCCCAGCAGGGCCCTCTGAGATCAGAGAGGCTGGTAGATAGATCACTTGCTCTTCTTTCGGCTGCCCTTTTGATTATTGTTAGAACTAAGGTGAAAAAGTGAATGGAAAATTGCATTCTTGGCTCCCCTGCAAGATGTCGAGGCCCTTGGTGCTTTGGGGGGGGGGGGATGTTTTTTCCGTGGCGGGTCGTGGGGTCTGACCATAAACAGTTCTTGGGCCTCAAGGCCACCTTGATCCACTCCTGCTTCATTTTCATACCTTTTCTTCCCCAATCTCCATTTTTCTCACTAACTGGTAAGGCTGAGATGTATAAGCCCAAGGATTGTTCATCTGACAGCCTTTATGCTATAATACATAATACAAAACATCACGGCAGAAGAGTCTTTTTATATTGGGGACACAAAAAAGCATAAAAGTTCAACTGGTGCCACTTATATGGAAGGATATAGAAACATCTAGCTTCCAGGGATGTTGGTTAACAAAAGAAGACTGTGCAATGTAGCGACAGAAAATGAAATTTCATTTAGATAAAAATGCATAGTTGCATCCTTTTTGAAATGTCTCACTGTCGTAACCCTATCATGTCTCAGTCAGAAAAAATTGCTTAAACACAAGGATTGTGAGAAGGTGACATCGATTGGACTGGCTGTGATAACCAGCCCTCTGCTGGGCAGCTCATTACGAACCCCCACACGGATCTGTGTAGAGAAATGCTTTCCTCATCTCCCTCTAGAATTATCTCTCCTCCTTCGACCTCTCCACAGTGGTGCCCCATCTTTAACCCCGGCGTCCCTTCGACCCCCCCACCCCCCCACCCCCGCTTCCTCAGTCCGTCCGCCACCCCAGTCCGTCCTGGCCAAATGCTCGTTAAGCTCACCCACGAGAATGTGGAACAGCTCCACTTCATGCAAGGAGAAACCACAAGTGCTGCTCTCGCTGGAGGCAGCCCAGAAAACTGCCGCTGCTCAGAGTGGCTTTGGTTTGCACTCTGACAACAAAAGAAAGCAAGAAAGTTGGAAAAAAAACAGAATGACTGCTCTCCCTCTCTCTGTGGCGTGTCTGTTTCCCAGGCCACTGCTGCACGTTCGTCACATTCCCCAGCTCATGGGAAGTGCCGGCTGGCCAGAACTGGAGGACGAAGTAGCAGCAGTAACTTCAATAACACAGATGATTTTGCATTACTGTAGTGGTAATGTTTTTTTGCGCCTTACACATTGTATGAAAAAAAGAAAACTTATATTCCCTTTCTCAACAATGGAGGTTCATGGAGGAGCGTGGTTTGGTTTAGATGAAGCTCGGCCACACGCCCATCTAAGCCTGAGGCCAATGCCCGGGGCAGAGACGGCTGACTGCCACTACAGGGTGGGGCCTGTCAGGGTCACCAGAGGTTCATTTTCACTCTTGGGCTGACCAGCACCGGGCCACATTGACTGCAGACCATAAAAACTGGGTCCAGACGCCTCTTGGTATCAGGCAGGAGATGAAACGTGCAGGAGCAATGCACAGAGGCTGCCCCGCCCCCGGATCCCCGAGAGCCTCACCATTTGCACGTCCGGATTGGCTAATGTGACGTGAGTGAATCTCATTATGCACAGATGCACATACTCATGGGTAAACGTCCAGTCCAATTTGCAATCAGCGAGATGAGGATCACATGGCATCTTGTGTATGTTCATTTATGTATAGCATACAAATATGACCTTTATAAAAATCTCTTTTTAATACATGTGTATGTATATATGCAGGTTCTGCACCTTGTATCAGCTTCCTCTTTCCACATTTTTAAAATAACACAGCGGCAAAATGAAGGGAACTCAACACCCTCGATATAACCTAATATTTCGTGACACTGCCTTGCTAAAAGCAGAAACGAATAATAAAAAAAACACAAACGAGTAAGCCAGCCTCACAGTCTATTATTATTATAAGAAATATTTGTGTTCATTTTCATCTGGTGTTTTTTGAATTCGTGTAGTGACTGCACCGTTTAAATATTCGCTTCTAGGTGCTTTCACTGCCAAAAAACGCACAATAATAATGAGAGCTCAGAGGCTGAAAGAAGCAAGCTTTCATAAAATAAAAGTAGCTAATATTAACTTCACCTAAAATAACCAACTATAGTAAGAATATCAATGCTATATGGGGTCATTTTCCCGCAAGCTATACTTACATATTTCTCATTTAAAGGTGTCACTTCCTATTTTGCGACTTGAAAAGTGACACGTGAACTGATTGGCCAGTTTGGCTCCCTGCCCTGCAAGACAGAGACCCAAATTTATTTTGTAGAATAAAACTGAGAATGAAACTTAATTACTGCAAGACCACTCTTCTGCCAAAACGGAAAGCAAGGAATCAATTACAGTGCCCCCCTCCAACCCCCCAAACACACCAAAGTTTTCTCTGGCCAAAATGATTGTCTGTAGTCTAACAAGAAAAACGACCAGACAAGCGCAGCCTAACGAGAGGATTAGTTTGCCTGACCCAGGGTCCAGTGCCACTTTTTTCTGCTGTGTGAGATTTACTGTCTAGCCAAGAGTTCAAAGTGCAGAGGTAAATTTCTCATTTACAAACAGGACCAGCAAACTACAACCTTATTACACGTCA